AAATGGAACCACAGACAGAAAGTGTGACTGCTACGGAACGTGGGGACTTACTCTGGAGTGACAGAAATGTTTTGGAACTAGATAGAGGTAGTAGTGAACTGTTCACTTACATATTTTTTGCTGGTGACATCATGATTTGAAATACATATACGTTGTGAAAAGATTCCTCCATTTAGTTAACATATCCGTCACCTCACATATTTATATATATATATTGTGTGTGTGTATGTACGCATATGTATAAATATATATATATTTGCATGTGTGTGTGAACATTTAAGTTCTATTTCTCAGCAAATTTCAATTATTCAATATAGTGTTACCAATTATAGTCACCATGTTATACTTATGTTCACTTTAAAATGGTTAATTTTTTAACTGTGAATTTCACCCAATTGAAAAAACAATGACTCAAAAAAAAAGGGGGGAGGGGGAGAAAGGGCTAGTCTCTTGCTTTCCAACATCTGCCCTTTTAACTATATCAGCCCTTGACCCTTGACTCCAGCGAGAGGGGATCTGAGAGTCAGGACTCAGACCTCTGGGAAATTTCCCCACACCAATGCCCAAACGCCCATGTGCCGGGCATTTTCTTTATGTGGTGAGCACCCAGGTTTGGGGACATTCCACCTTGCCTTTCCTGCTGGAGGAATTAATGCAGTATCAGGTATAGCTGGATCCAGGGGCTCAGCTGAGATCATCTGTTTCTCTCCACCTCTTGAAAGCAAAATCTTTCCCATGATCCACTAGGCCCGAAGCAAACTGGCTTTGCCAATGCTCTCTGACCTCATTTCCTACTATTCTTCCATTTGCTCACTTGGCTCCAGCCCCCTGGCCTCTTCTTCATTCAAACATGCTTGGGATGGTCCCACCTCAGGACCTCTGCCCTTGCTGTTTCTTCGCCCCGGGACACCCTTCCCCCAGATATCTACATGGCTCCCTTCTTTACTCCCTCCGGTCCTTGCTCCTCAGAGAAGCTGTCCCCACGGACCACCGGGTCTGAACTGCATCCCCCCTCATTCCACCCCGCTGCCCTGGCTAATAGTCTTCCTAGCACAAATCACTTCTAGAACTCATCTTACTTGCTTGATTTGCTGACTGATTCGGGAACAGGGTCTGGCACAGAGCAGGCCTTAGAGGGAGGCGGTAGAAGGGAGAGATGATCCTGAGCGGTCCTACTTCCCTGCTGCCCTCAGGCCAGGACTGGACCGGGACCGAGTCCTGGAGGGCGGCGAGGAGGAGGCAGCAAGAGCAGGAAGGAAAACAGGTCTAGGGAGGTGGGCTGTGCTGTTTGGTGTAGAACAAAAAGAACAGAAACTGCTGCTTGCCGGGAGCACCTAGTGTGTGCCACGAACCGCGGCTGTCCTTTATTTTAGAGGCGACTGCGACCTAGGCCCTCCAGGACTGTCCCGTTCCCCTGGGCGGGGGGCGGGGGACAGGGGGCAGGGGGGCAGGGGGGCAGGGGGCGGGGGAGCAGGGGGCAGGGGGGCAGGGCGGTAGGGGGCAGGGGGGCAGGGGGCAGGGGGGCAGGGGGACAGGGGGCAGGGCAGGGGGCAGGGGGCGGGGGGGCAGGGGGCAGGGGGGCAAGGGGCAGGGGGACAGGGGGGCAGGGGGACAGGGGGCAGGGCAGGGGGACAGGGGGCAGGGGCGGGGGGCAGGGCGGTAGGGGGCGGGGGGCAGGGGTCAGGGGGCGGGGGGGGACAGGGGGCAGGGCAGGGGGCGGGGGCAGGGGGCAAGGGGCAGGGGGGCAGGGGGACAGGGGGCAGGGCAGGGGGACAGGGGGCAGGGGGCGGGGGGCAGGGCGGTAGGGGGCGGGGGGCAGGGGGCGGGCGGCAGGGGCAGGGGAGCAGGGGGACAGGGGGCAGGGCAGGGGGGCAGGGCAGGGGGGGCAGGGGGCAAGGGGCAGGGGGACAGGGGGGCAGGGGGCAGGGCAGGGGGCAGGGGGCGGGGGGCAGGGGCGGGCGGCAGGGGCAGGGGAGCAGGGGGACAGGGGGCAGGGCAGGGGGCAGGGGGACAGGGGGCAGGGCAGGGGCAGGGGGCAGGGGGCGGGTCGACAGCACCCTGCACACGCCTGCGGCCCTCTGCTCACTTTGCCAGCGCGCCCCGCATCGTGTGCGTGCGTGTGTTCCCTAAGCCACACGTTTCCAGCCTTTAGAGGGGTTTTGCAGTTCGGCTGGGCGTCGTGTGCCCCGAATCTGGCAGCCCTCGCCAGGGAGGGGCTCGACTCCAGGCCCAGGACCCCGATGCTGTCTCCGGGCCAATCCTCCCCTTGCTCTTACCCCTGGAAACCGGCCGGCTCTCGGGGAATCGATCCTCTGTCCCGGGATCCGGCGCCCACGGTCCGCGAACCCGTCGCGGTCCCTTTAAGGGTGGTTTCGGGGACCAGCCCCAGGGGCGTGGAGAAGCCGGGGGCGGGACGAACGCGGGGGCTAAAGGGGTGCGCCCGCGGGTCGCGGGCCGGGCGGTGTCCCCGCCTCCTCTCGGCCGAGCCCAGCTCTCCCGCGGCTGCGCCGGCCCTGCCGCCCCGGAGACAAAGCGCCGCCGCCGCCGAGCGGGTCCCGGGCCATGAGCAGGCTGTCCCCCGGCCCCGCGCCTCCTGTCCCGCCGCCGCCGCCCTAGGCCGCGCCGCGAGGTAAGGCCCGCCTGGCGGGGGGACCTGCGAGGGGGCGCGGGACCCGGCTCGGCCGCCGTGGGCCTCGGGGTCCCGCGGCCGGCTGGAGAGACCTCTGCTGGGGACTCCCTGTTTGCGATTCCCCGTCTGTAGTAATGTCCCACTGGGGACCCCAGCTGCCCGGGGCAGACTTGACCGTCCCCCCCCCCCCCCGCGCGCCCCATAAGGGACCTCTGCTGCTGAGGGAACTCTGGGGACTGGCCTTCCACTTGGTACCCACATTCTGCTGTGGACCACCCCATCTGGGGCTCTGGTGTCCTTTCGAAAACTCGAGAGCTCCCCACAGGACACAAAGGGACAGAGGGCTGCCAGGAGCAGGGCTGGACCTGAGATCCGGTCTCTACAGTGGGCAGTGGGCAGCCTCTAGCCCCGGGCAGGTGTCTGGGCGTCCCTGTGGGCCCTGCTTCAGGGATCCCAGCACATGCTTTTACGCCTGTATTTACCACACCCTGTCCCCCATGCCCACTGCTAGGTGACATTGGTGGCAGTTGCATTCAACCCCAGGACCTGCGGTGTGATTGCTTTCCTTGAATTGAGTGCAAAATGCCATGCCTCAGTTTCTCCAGAGTGCAGGATTTGGGGCCAGCCGTGCCCTTAAGCTAATTTGCCTTTTGGGTAGGTTTCCTGAGTGCTCACTACTTGGTAAGCGTTTTTGCAGAATGGCTCTTCGGGATTAATGCAATCCTTCCCGGAGGGATGGATGTTAATGTTCTCCTTTTATAGGCGAGGCTATGACAACTCTCCCTCACAGTGCCATACTTCTGGTGCCTTTCCCACAGCTGGTCGTGGGCCTTCCGTATTTTAGCTCATGGAATCCTCTCCACAGTCCATCGATAGATGAGGAAACGGGCTTGGAAAAGTGACTTTCTCAAGACCCTCCAGCCTGGACTGGTCCAAGGGAGAACTTGGCCTCGGGACCAGGGAGGGGCCGGGCCCCGCACGGCTTTCTGCCTGGCCGTGGGCAGCTGAGGCGGCAGCAACGCCTACAGTGGACTCTGCACTTCTTAGAAACAACAGGAGTGTAGGGAGATGAGGCAGGACCTGTGCCCCTCCTGCTTCTGCTCTGCCCCTCTGGTTCTTGCTGAGGCTGGAAGAAGCAGGGGCCATGGGCAGAGCGGGTTTCTGTGTCACCGGTAACCTTGGGACCGGCTGGCCCTATTTTGGACATTGAGAGGAGGAAGGCTGCTGAGCGTGGGGAAGTTGCTCTTTCTTTGGCCTTAATGGGGTGGGGAGATCCCAGGATAAGTTCCTTTGGGCCGGTTGCCTACAGCATGCGATTCTGGGCACAGCATTGTACCTTTGGGCAAGTTACTTAACTTCTCTGTGTCTCATTTTTCACCTCTATTAATGTGGGATGGGGAACAGACACCTGCTCATGGAGCTATTGAGAGGTTTAAGAAGACTGTTTGACTCATTCTACAGGTATTTGAACAACTACATGCCAGGCACTGGATTCAGAAAAACAAACAAAACAACTCTGCCCCCTCCTACAGCAGGCAAAAATGGCCCAGGTAATTTCAGGTTGGGTATAAGAGAGTGACCAGGGACGTGTCTTGTACAGGGTGATCAGGGCCTACACCCCTGGGAAGGTGATGGTCAAGTTGAAGCTGAGGGATGAGGAGTTGGCCATGTGCAGATCGGAGAAGTTTTTTCCATGCAGAGGGAACAGCCAAGGGCAAAGGCCCTGAGGCGGGAAGAGGCCTGATGTGTTTGAGGAGTAGTAAGGAGTTCCGGGTGGCTGGCTGAGTGAGCAAGGGGTGAAGAGGTAGGAAAAGGGGGCTTGGAGGCCATGGGGAGGGCTGCACTTTACACTGAGAAGTAGGGAGTCATGGGAGGGTTCGGAGTGGTGGAGGGGCACACCCTTGGATTTTGTTTTTAATGGCATCTTTCTATGGGGAATGGATTTCAGTGGGGCCCGGGGAGGGGCCGAGAAAGGAGTTTGGTTCCTACCCTGAAGAACATGGACAGAGAAGGCAGGGTGGAGGCAGGGAGGCCAGTGAAGAGGCTACTGGAATTGTTCAGGGAGTGGCGATGGGGGCCTAGAATGGGGAGGTGGCAGTGGGTAGAGATTAGGCCAGTGCTTTGGTAGAAGGTGGAGGGAGATCAATGGGACCTGATGAGTGGGGGTGAGGGCTGAAGCCAAAGGCCATTTGCTGAGACAGAGTGCTTCGGGGAGCATGTAGGGAGGTCAAGAAGAAAGTCAACAGCTACCCCTGCTGAGCATGTACTGCGTGCCCGGCACCATGCTCAGCACCTTCTATGTAATCACTGTGTCATTATTACAACCTCGCTTAGGTGCTTTTATGATCCCCTTTTACAGATGTGGAAATAGAGGCCCAGAGAGGCTTAAACTTGCCTGAGGTCACACAGCCCGGACACGAAGAGCTGCCATTTGAACCCAGAGAAGAGCAAGCCGAGAACAGACTGGGCAGAGGGCAGGGAAGCAGGTGGTGGCCTGAGAGGTAGGAGGGACATGGGACAAGTAGGGTGGGTGGTTCCTCTGAGAAATGGGGGTTGGGTCCACATGGAGTTGTTGGACTGAGGGGGGGTGTGGAAATGCATGATTCCTATTTACAGAGAAGGAAACTGAGGCTCAGAGAAGGGCAGCCCGTGTCTGAAGTCACACAGTTCAGGGAGGCAGAGCAGGGATGAAACACCCTGAGCCTTCAGGGTCTCTGGCCTTGGCCTGGCTACTCTGTCAGGACAATTTGACCTCAGCTACGAAATCACAGTTTGTGGTGCCTCTTCCAGGAAGCCACCCTTGACTGCCTAGGCAGGTGAGATGAGGTGTATTCAGTTTGGAACAACTGCCCCCTCCACCCTGGGTCAGGTTGAGCTGCTCTCAAGAGAGCTGCCACGCATATTCCTCCAGGCCCTGAGTAAGGCACTGCCCAGGCTGGGGAGTAAACATTAATTGAGCACCTATTGCATTCTAGGGACTTCATATACATTGTGTCTTTAAAATATAGCTACTGTCCTATATAGAGTTAGGCTGTGAAGCAGGAGCAGGAGATGGGTCCTCACAGTGGCTGTGGACAATCCCAGAGGAGGGGATGGTCGCATCAGGGGCCCACGTATCACCTCCCAGTAAGTCCTACCCGGCCAGTGTTGCCCTCTCATGTGCTCCTTGGGGAAGGTGGATAAAATCACCGGGCCAAGTGCATAGTTACTTCTATGTTGAGTACACCATGCTCTCTCCCCACCTGGTCCATATAACTGTGGGCCAAGTTCTGGGCCTTTTTTTCTGGATTATTCCACCGCGATCTTTTCTGTCTGACTGCATCTGCCACCTCTCCCCTTCCTCATTCTGCTCCAGCCTCACTGGCCTCCTGGCTGTTCCTCAGGCACCCTAGCAGGTTCCCACCGCAGGGCCTTTGCACTTGCTGTTCCCTCTGCCTGGCATGTCCCTCCCTCCCCCCTTCCAGGTGTCTGCTCTAGTGTTACCTGCTCAGTACAGCCTTTCCAGAGCCCCTCTGACCCGTTAAAATCAAACACTCCTCTTGTCCCCAGCACTCCTGACCCCATTCTCTATCGCACGGAAGACCAGACCTCAGCAGACTCATTTTAGGTTTGTTAATGGTCTGCCCCCTTCACTTGCCACTAGCGTGTCAGCACCACAGAGCAGCGTCCCCTCCACCTTGCTTACTGCTGTGTCCTGCTGTCTGGAACAGTGCCTGGCACACAGTGGGTGCTTAATCAATGTGTGATGAATGAAGCCCCTGCACCCCACTGAAACAGGTTCTGTTCATATCGCCATTTCCCGGACAGGCAAGTCAAAGCCGAGTTATGAAATCAGGGCTGGGACTCCAAAGGGCCCCAAAAAGTCAGCCCGTCTGGTCCCCAGGGATGATGGAAACAGCAGGGCCTGAACTGAGGCCTGGAGTTGAATTTCAGCTCCGCCCAATTTACTTTGTGACCTTGGGCACGTGACTAACCTGTCTGCTTCGTTTCCCCATCTGTCAAATGGGGGTCCGGCTGGTCCCTGCCAACTAAGGTTTGTTGCAGGATGAGCTGAGATATTATAAAATGCCTGGCACGCAGGAGGGTTCTCCAGCGTCATTTTGGAGGAGGATGCAGGCGGGTTCGAGTGCGGCTCTGGGGCCCGGGTTTGAGTCAGACCCGGGAGTCTTGGCGCTGCTCCCAGAGCTGTGGGATCCCGGGCAGGTGGCTCCTGCTCTTTGAGCCTCAGTTTCCTTACCTGCGCGAGAAGGGTGTGGGGTGCGGCGGCGCCCGAGGGTGGCTGGGTGACCTGGCGGCGGCCACGTGAGTGACGGCCACCGGGTGGGCACAGGTCGCCGCCATGAAGCTGAACGAGCGCAGCCTGGCCTTCTACGCCACCTGCGACGCGCCGGTGGACAACGCGGGCTTCCTGCACAAGAAGGGCGGCCGGCACCCGGCCTACCACCGGCGCTGGTTCGTGCTGCGAGGCAACATGCTCTTCTACTTCGAGGAGCCGGCCAGCCGCGAGCCCGTGGGCGTCATCATCCTGGAGGGCTGCACGGTGGAGCTGGTGGAGGCGGCCGAGGAGTTCGCCTTCGCCGTGCGCTTCGCGGGCGCCCGCGCGCGCACCTACGTGCTGGCCGCCGAGAGCCAGGCCGCCATGGAGGGCTGGGTGAAGGCGCTGTCGCGGGCCAGCTTCGACTACCTGCGGCTGGTGGTGCGCGAGCTGGAGCAGCAGCTGGCGGCCATGCGGGCCGGGGGCTGCCCGCCGCCTCGCCAGCCCCGCGCGCTCCCGCCCCGGGAGAACGGCTGCGCCGTCTGGAGCGCCGCGCCGCCCGCCGCCGCCCGCACGTGCCCGGGGGCCCGGCCCGGCCCCATGCCGCCGCCGCTGCCGCCCCGCCGCCGGGCCTCGGCGCCCAGCGGGCCTCCCGACTCGGCTGCCTTCGCCCAGCTGCACGAGTGGTACGGCCAGGAGGTCCGGGCACTGCGGGGTCGGTGGCTCAGGAGCCGGGCCCAGCCCTGAAGACATGGGGTGAAGGCCTGTCCTGACGGGGGTGGTCAGAGCCAGCCCCGAGGTCACCAGAGGCTCAGCCCCGAGAGACTGGGGAGCCTGGTCCCGAGGGACAGCACGGTCAAGTCCTAAGGAAAATCGAGGTCCCTGGGTGGCCTCTTTTTGGGGAACCTGAGCTCGGAGAAGATGCTGGACTCGGAGGGGCACTTAGGACTCGGAGGCCGCTGTGCCTCGTTCTAGGGAGAATCCCGGCCTGGCTGAGCCTCAGGAAGCCCGAGGGCTGCTTTAGAAGGACTTCTAGCCCCAGGCCCAGCCCGAATCACGCGGCCCAGGCCTGTTGCTGACATCAGGTCCTGGCTGCGGTGAGTGGCACCTGTTGAAGACCTGTGGCCCGAAGGCAAACGCCCTGGGCCCTGACGGCCCCCCCGACACAGACAGGGACCCGCCACACCTTGGGCTGACCTCCTTTCGCTCCGGAGGAGCTGGCCTGGCTCCCGGCCACCTGCCCGCCCGAGTGCACTAGGTGCGGAAGGTGGCAGCAGGTTTCAGTGTGTAACCGGTCTGGTGAGATTGTCTGGGCCGAGGGCTGGAGTGGGGCCGAGGCAGGACTTTGTCCTGGGCCTTGGCCAGGCCTTGAGCTGGTGCTTCTGGCACAGTCGTGACCCCCTGGCCTTGGGCGTGTCTGTGTCTGAGGGGCTCTCGCTCGCTGTCCTGACAGTCCTTAACCACATCCTCCGTCTCCCTCTCCCGGAGCCGGCTCTCCCACCCCGTCCTGGGACAGGCCTCAGGAGCTCGCCTGACCTGGTCCAGTCTGTCTGGGCAGCGGTGGCCTGAGCTGACTCACCGCCCAGAAAGGGCCCAGGTGCCGATGGGGAGGGGCGCCGCAGCAGTGGTGAGGCTGTGTTAACCCTTTCCCCCCATCACAGCCCAGCCCCCTCAGCTCCCTCCTGGTGGGGTGCCCCCGCTGTTCCACTGTTCTCATCACCACAGTGGCCGTTCTTCGAGGGAGAATCTCAGGGCTGGGACACCCTGGGCCCTCAAGCTGGGTCATGTTTACAGTCCTCTGCCCCACACTGGGGAACCCCTGAAGATACCTTCGCCCAACCTTTATCCTCCGGAGGGTCCCTCTTGGTGGCGGACAGTCTTGGCCGCGAGGCCCCTTCCTGCTGTCTTTGGAGACGGGGGCTTGGGGCAGAACGGGGGACTGTCCTCAATCACCAGCTCACTGCTGGCTCAGTTGGCTGGGGCTTCCGTTTTAATTTAATTTTTAATACTAAGGTGTTGTGTGTTTTTGTTTTTGTTTTAGCAACAAAATGACATTTTCACAACTTCTGTTTTTTGTTGGCTGGTGGGAAGGGTCAGGGTGCCTGGCTCTCAGCTTGGCTGGAGTGGGAGGTGAGAGAGGACAGTTGGCACGCCCGCCCCGGGAGAGGGCCAGGAGTCTGGGCTAGAGACAAAGGCATCTCAGGAATCTCGCCAGTTCTTTGCCTTCTCCAGGCAAGCCCTGATTTGTGGCAGGTGCCTCTGGGTCCTTGGTACGTTTCCTGTCCCCTTCTTTCCCAAGTCCTGAGCAGTGGGGGTGGGGATGGTGGCCCTTGTCCATGGGCTCTGGGTCTCCAGGGTGTTAGGAGCTGCCCAGAGCCAGTGTCCTGGCCAGACGCAGCTAGTGGGATGAGGTGGCTCCAGTCCTGGGGCAGGTTTACAGGCTCTAAAGGTACAGTGCCCTGGTCTCCCTGGGGGGGGCGGTGTGGGAATTACCCCCACTCCTACTCCCCATCCCCCAACGCCCAAGATGGGGTCAGGCTGCCTCCAGAGTTGGGTGGGAGGAGAGAGACCAGGCAGCCTGCGAGGGGGATGTAAAGGCTAAAATAAAGTGAAAGTTTACCACATAATGGCTAGTGGTGTCATTTTTTTCCCCACCAACTCCTGGATTGGTTTGCCCGGCAGGGCCAGGGACAGGCGCCCCAGGACAAGTGACCAGTGGGTACTTAGTGCCCCCCATGGCAGAGGCTCTGCAGGGCACACTCTCACAATCTCTTCTGGCAGATACCAGCCCCATTGTACAGATGAGGAAACTGAGGCTCACAGAGTCTGAGACACCTGCCAAGTTCATGCAGCTGGAGAGTGTCAGCAGAGACGCTGGAGCCCTGTGGGGGGAGGGCAGAGCCTTCCAGAGCAGTGTGGGCAAGTGGAGTCGCCAAGTTCCTTCTCAGAGCGGAGACAAGCAGAAGGAGAGGCGAGGGTTTGAACGTCGACTGGGGGCTGAGGGCCAGCCTGTTGGGAGGGGCGTCAAGGATGGCAAAGGGAAGAGTCAACACGTGGCTCTTACTGGCCAGTTGATGGGGCTGCAAGGCCTGCAGGTAGGATTCTAGCCCCAACGCTAGTTCAGGGGGAAGACGCTGCAATTGTAACGTCTGCCGTGATCCAGGGTGGATGGTGGGCGCTCCCGTGCTGTCTGCTATCTCAGACTCATTGAGTGGTTGCTGGGCTACCGGGGGATTCACAGACGGGAATGGTCTGGCCCAAGGTCACCCAGCATGATGGACTAGGCCCTAGGTTCTCCTAAGGTGGATTCGGAGCTTGGGTCACATGTCTTGTCCACTGGAAAAATCATGCACATTCTGGAAAATGTGGCTTTGGATGAGCAACCTAGAGTCCGTGGTCAGCAGAACAAGTTCAGGAACAAGGGGTGAAAAATACTCAAGTCAGGGAATCATGCCCCTTGTGAGCATCCAGGGCATGCTGAGTAATTCCTTCCACCTCTGCTGGGACCACAGCTGACAGGCAGGGGCTGGGGAAGTGTCTCCCTGAGTCAGAGCACCGCCTGTGGCACTTGTGACCACAGTGCACAGAATCGGGGACACAGCAGCAGAGAGACAGCTAGGGCCAAGAGGGAGGCTCACCTGCCGGCTTCTTAGGGCTGGTATGTTTCCATTCAACTGCAGTGGGGTGGGGGAGACAGGTCGGTCAGTTACCTAAGCGTTGTGTTTCCACCTGTGAATATGTCAGAGCTTCCTCCTGACCCCGGGGGCATGTTCAGAGCATGTGTCTAAGGACTAAAACATCCCAGGAGCATGACAAAGGAGAGAAAATTGTCTTCACCTTAACAGTCTTTGGGGATATTGCACATGTTCAGAAGGAAGATTCTGAGAAGCCACTTGGGGCTGGGGATGGAAACCTCAAGAGGGGCTCTCAGGCCAGAGGGTATGTGCTGGCTGCCCAACATCCACCCACCTTAAAAGATTAGGGAAATGGCCCTGGCCGGTTTGGCTCAGCGGTGAGAGCGTCGGCCTGTGGTCCAGAGAGACCCGGGTTCAGTTCCCGCTAAGGGCATGTACCTTGGCTGCAGTTTGTCCCCGGCCCTGGTTGGGTTGTGTGGGTGGCAGCCACTCGATGTGTCCCTTTCACGTCGATGTTTCTCTCTCTTTCTCTTCCTCTCTCTCCCTCCCACTCTAACTGAACAAAAAATGGAAAAATGTCTTCGGGTGAGGATAAAAAAAATGATAATAAATTCGATCACTGGTGCTGCTGCTCCCATTTGATGTGTAGAAATTAGCTAAACTTGAGCTGCTAAAGAATGGCTCTGTGACCCAATTTTGGCTAATGTGATGGGAGTGGAAGAGGTTTCTTCTAAAAAGAGACACGATGAAGAGCTCGTCATTATTTCCTAGGCGTGAGGTTATGTCTGATGGCTGGAGCTGTGGCAGCTATCTTGTGATCATGAAACAGGACACTTTAAGGAAAGTGTTCCCTGTTGAGTTTAGCACACACCTGAAAATATCCCTGAGCTTCTGAATCAGCCCTATTTCTGGACGACTTGTCATTCAAGGTAATACATGGCCTTGTTTAAAGCTTAAAGGGAGACATTTTGTTGTTGTTTTATTTGCAGCAGGAGGCTTCCTAATGGATAAGCTTGAGTGACTGTAGCTGCTCCCTCTAAGGAGCATGGCTATCGATGACCAACTTCAGGGCTTTTGTCGGCTCAGTAGGGTGAAGATTAGGGCTAGAATGGGATTCCCTGAACAGTAAAGGGGCCTCTCATCTCCCTGGGGAAGCCTTCCATCACTCCTGTTTCGAAAGCGTGAACAAATATTGAAAAGGAGCACTCCTGCGTACTTACCTCTGGCCCTGAACTTGGCATGTTCCTACATGGGGCTGTTTTGTCCCTACTCTGGGGCTAGATCGGGTGCCAACTGTCCAATCCCCACAACCCCTCCCCAGAGCACTTTGTTATACAAAAGGGCCTGCTGCCCTGGCCGGTTTGGCTCAGTGGTTAGAGCATCAGCCTGCAGTCCAGAGAGATCCGGGTTCGGTTTCTGCTAAGGGCACGTACCTCGGTTGCAGTTTGTCCCAGGCCCTGGTTGGGTCGTGCGGGAGGCAGCCACTCAATGTGTCCCTTTCACGTCAATGTTTCTCTCTCTCTCTCTTCCTTTCTCTCCCTCCCACTCTATCTGAACAAACAATGGAAAAAAATGCCCTCGCGTGAGGACAGACAAACAAACAAACAAACAAACAAACAAAAGGGCCTGCTACCTGTCCCAATTTCTAAAACTGAGGCAATCAACAGGAAACTTCCAAGGTGGTAAAATAATAAACTGCTGAAGCCCAGCTGCAGATTTTGCAGTTTCTGATGACGATTTTTTAAAAGGTGGGCCCATGAACTGTTTTGTCTTAGGGTTTCAAAAACAGTTGCCCTTTCCTGACAGAGGGGCCAGGGCTGTCGCAGCTCGGTCTGCCTGTCCTTGGGGCTGTGCTGCTCTTGCTCAGTTCTGAAAGCACTCAGGCGCTGGGGTCATTGCCTGGTCCTCTCTTCATTGCCCAGGGTCACATGCGTCATCGCTCCTCTACTTGCAGGCTGAGATATGCCAGGCAGTGCCCGCAGGCCTCTAGCCTGCGCTCCTGGAGAGCAGGGACTACTCTGCTTCCCGTGTGCCCCACAGGGCCTGGAAACAGTGCCCAGCACAGAGACGCCAATCACTGCGTCCTCTGTCCCTCTGCTCCTGTGATCCTTT